CGCGGAATTGAAGCAGCGACCCTCTGCAGTCAAGGGCGTGCTGTTGACTTGCTTTTTCGCCGTTATTTTGCTTTTCTTCCCTTCGGACTTGCAAACAGCAATTCAGCAAGCAAAAGAGAATGGCCGTCGTAATAAATGAGTTTCTGAGGCGTTGTGGGCAGGTGTGTGCTGCACAAAAACCGTTTGCCCTCGTTCTTGGGAACGAAGGGGGTGACATGGACAGCGTAATTGGCTCGATATACCTCGCCTTTTACTTGGAAAAAAATAATGATCTGGGTAAAAAGTATTACATTCCCACATTGAACTTTGAGAAGGAGGATCTCCCATTGCGCAACGATGTGGCAAAACTTCTTTCGCTACATGGGGTAGCTACAGAGAATGTTTTTTCGGTTATAGGACGTCCAGGGATGCCTGACTATATTGATCTGCAGAAAGTAGCACCAGAGGTTATTCTCTACGATCACAACAAGCTAATTTCTTCTCAAAGCTTTTTGAGTGACAGAGTCATTGGTGTTATTGATCACCATGCCGACGAGAAGCTTTACATGGATCAAACCATCTCTTTTCGCAGGATAGAAACAGCAGGCTCGGCGTGTACCCTTGTTGCGGAGCTCTTCCGTGAGGCTGAACTAAGGGTTCCCTGTGCGGAGCTGCTGCTGGCTCCGATCGTCTTGGACACTGTAAACTATAACCCTTCACAGAAGAAAGTCACTGACAGGGACATACAAGCAACCCAGTGGCTCTTGGAACAGACTACCACTTCGATCGACCTGACGAATTTGTTTTCGGAGTTGTCGGCCTGGAAAACCGATGTTCTTGGCCTCAGTGTTTCTCAACACCTTCGTCGAGATTACAAAAACTTCGAATTCCCCTTCAAGGAAAGCAACGCAGGTTCCTTGCAGATTGGTATCAGCAGTATTTCGTGTCGAATTGATGAGGTTCTCGCTTCACGTTCCATGGAAGAGTTTATGTCAAATTGCTTGGAGTTTTTGACATTAAGGAAGCTGGATGTGCTTCTCCTTGCTTTTGCTGGCGTGCGGGGTCCTGGAAATTATTGTCGCCAAATCGCCTTCCTTGCAAGAGGTATGCCTTTTCAGGCTCTCAAAGACTATGCCGGAAGTTCTCCAGATAATGTTGTTTTTACCCTTCTGTCAACCACGCAAAGCAAAGAATGGACCTTATTGTCTTATGAGTTAAGTGATCCTTCTGTATCACGTAAGAAGCTCGCACCGTCTTTGGGTAGGTTCCTTTCATCATGGTCAAAGTTGTGAGATACACTATTATATATATATATTATATTATATTGTTGTTTGTTGACGCTCCTGGACCTTAGGCAGGTGTGCATCGCTTTGTTCCCTCGTGTGCGTAACTCCACTTTCTCCTTTTTTTTCTCTCACTGTAGCTTTTCCTGTTAGTCTTGGGAGAAAGACACAGAATGAGTACACTCCTCCTGCCAGAGAGTATGGACGTCATCGTTGTTGATCCGGTATGGCATGGCAATCATATCGAGTACAAGATATGCATAAGAAATACTACTTGTGGGGACGCACCACTGAGCAGCACGTATCGTAGGTTTAGTGATATTTACTCTGTGTTTAGGAGGTTTGTGGAGCTGGATCCTGATCCTCCTTTACCTCCGCTACCAGAAAAGAAAGTCTTTGGTACTACAGACCCGGTGTTTGTGGAACGACGTCGGAGAGAGTTAGAAACATTCTTTAGAGCAGTCTGTAGAAACAAGTTCTTAGTAAATGATGTTGGGTTCCTTGCGCTTGTTGGCTTTTCAGACGCCAAGGCAGCTTTGGCACAAGAGGCTGAGAAGAAGAATGACGTAGTGAATGAGAGCAGCAGCCATTCATTACCGTGGGTAAAGTGTCCTTTGCCGGATCTAGAACCAGATGAGCTGGTGTTGGCAACCCGCCAGTTTCTACGATCCACCACATACACATTGGTACGTGTGCTCCCTCCATTATCGTTTGGGGCACCGCGACGGTTCTATGCGCTGATAAAGAATGCTTGTGGTCAGTATGTTTTGAGTGTTAGTCAGGCTCACCCCAAGCGGGGTGTACCTTTGAAGGACAGCAAGAAGGCCCATAGATTGTGCAGCTTACTCTCACGATCTTTGTTGCCTTGTGTGTTTTCTCCAGTCAGCGTTCAGACTGATGGAATTCGACTTTACGTCATCCGAAAAGTTGTTAAAGGCGGTTCTTTCCGTGATCGCGCATACAATGCCTCCTGGAGCACAGAGTCAGAAATGAAGTACAGAAGAAAGGGAAAGCCTTTTTCAACTGAATACATTGCGGGTGTTACGAGACAGGCTTTGCTAATGGTGAAGTCCTTCCATTTTTATAATATGTCGTGCCCTTATTTACACTTGGGTAAGTGTTTTGAAGACGAGGGGCGAATACTCTTTTCGGGTCTTGAAGATGCCTTGTTGGGCATCACACGCTATCCCGTCGTTCTGCCCACCACAGAGCACACGCACGTTGACATACTACTAGTGGGTGCCCTGGCTCTGGAGATGGCGCTGGGCGGGCCTCTCAATGAAAAGCGAGAGCTACAATTGGTTACTGCTTACAAGGATCCTACGGAAGCCGTTGAGGTAGATGACGATTCACGTGTGAAGCTCATGATGGGACTGTTGGAAAGTCTTCCTTCACGTGTTTCACAGTCTATAGTGCCGTTTTTGAAGACACTTTTTGACCCTTCCCGTAGAATAGAAGCTGACGATTTACTCAGGCACCCATTCATTGCCAAAACTAAGTTCACATCCCGACAGGAGGGCCATGGCAAAGCAAATTACGAGTTTCCACCATTGGGGGTCAAACACAAGGAGGTCCATTTATTTCTTGAAGTGGCTAATAACTGGCTTGAAACCGCTAAAGCAGCTGGTGTTCAGAACGACTATGAGGAGAAAAGCCGCTTTCTCCTTAAAGCAATAAGACGACGGAAGGGAGAAGAGCTCCTGAGTCAATCGCAAATCCCATTTTCTTCAGATGCATATAGTACACGACAATTCCATGTGTCCGCTGAGGCGTCGCTGGTCGAACAGAGAACAGTAAAGCCTCTAGTGGAAGTGAAAGCATCGCCACAGTGCCGACCGCAGGCTTCTGTTGTATCGGATAGTGCGGCGAGGCTGTCAAAAATGGTACCGACACCATCCTCCTCAAAGGGGCCACCACCTCCACCACCGCCCCCGCTACCTCCCAAAGGGTTGGCTCCTCCTCCTCCTCCTCCTCCTCCTCCTCCTCCTCCTTCCTCTGAACCTGTGGTGACCTCTCAGTGAGGTATTGATGAACTTGTCGTGTAGTTGAAGAAGTGAAGTGATGCGGAAGCGTGCAACTTTTTTTGTTGGTGGCAACTGAATAATGTACATAGCTCCCGTTGCTTTTGTGTATAGTTCTGTCTAGCTTAGCAGCATATTTGGGCAGTTCGGCAATAGATCCTGACGATGGCACGTGGTAACCAGCGAGACCTGGCCCGTGAAAAGAACATGAAGAAGCAAAAGGACAAAGACAAGGGGCAACGTGAGGACGACGGGCTGTCGCTCGCCAAGCGAAAGGAACTCGACGCGGAACGGATGCGTTTGAAACAGGCGGAGGCTTTGTCGAAACAACCGGCTGGTTCATGATGCGCTGAAACGAAGGAGTGTTGCAAGAGTTTTGCTTAAAGGGACAAAAAGGAAGTGAGGGGGAAAAACTATTTGTATTAACTGTGTAGAAGAAGAGGAGGAATTTTTTATTTTGAATTCAAATTCAAACTCGCGGAAGAAAACTATAGCGACCTTTTGAGGATCTTGAACGAGAGAAAAGTTTAGTGCGCACCTCGTACGTATTTCACTGCTTTGTTTTTCTGATTGATAGTCAAAGAGAATGTCATACTATGACAAATCCGATCAGGTAGGTTACGATGATCGAGACAAGGAGCTAAACGAGGAATTGGAGGCTATGCTTGCCCGCACGCCGCCCCATATTCAGCGACATCTCCAGCAACGCATTCACGATGGAATTCTTCAACGCATGAAGGAAGAGACAACAAGAAAGTGTTGGGACTTCGTAAAAAAGTATGAGACATGTGTGAATACGGTCAAACCGTACAATATGAAGGATTGCACCCCTCATCGTGATGCCTTGAATGACTGTGCCCATGAGATCAACCGTGAGGAAAACTACCAACGATACCGCATTCTCTACCTTCGCGGTGAACTACTTAAGCTACACGAGCACCGTACTGGTGAAAAGATGGAGATGCTAAAAACCCGCGTGCCTGACTCCATTAGAAATTGGAAGACGGATTACGCACCAAAGTACGCAGAGATGATGTCAGATCTGGGTGCAAAGCCTCCAAATGTGGAGGCAACGACCGAGAATATCGACACAGATAAGAAATGAATCTCATGTAGTGAACGCAAGTTGATTCGTTCTTCCACAGGGGAAAAAAGGGTGCCTACGCTTCAAGGCTTTTGTGGGTTTAACTGTGGAGCGGTTTCTCTTGTTGTTGTTGCTATTGTTTTTATTATTGTTGATGTTTCATCTTTCAGCGTAATAGGGGGCCCTACATGCTACGTGCTGCTCGCTTGCGCTTTTCTTGGAGGCCTGCGGCCATTCAGCATCTTCCAGATGTGGCCCCCGAGAGCACTCCCAAGAGAGTAGAGGAGGTGCAGCGACAGTATCGTCCCTTGTCCCTCAAGGCTCGGCAGGCTCTGGCGGAAAAGTCAGACGAGGTGCAGTATCACGTTATCACTCAGGAGTGGTTTGGCCAGCGCGTCGACAGCTTCCTTTCCCAACATCACCCGGAGTGGGACTATGAAACCACAAAAAAACTTGTGCAGCAGGGCCATATCTACCGGTATAGGAAAAACGGGAAAAAGAGGTACACACGCCTTACAGACAGGCTGGAGTTTGACGAGCTGCTTGTCGTGCCCACACACGCTTTTTGGGAAAATCAACTCGCTCCTCCCAGTGGTGTTATCCCAGATGATAAGGGGCGACCGCAGTTGAAGTTATCATCGCAGGTGCGAGAGATGGCGCATGACATGGTGCTCTACAAGAATGAGCACGTCATTGTTATCAACAAGCCACATGGTCTTCCCATGATGCCGACAAGCAATCCACAGGAAATGAGTATAACTGCTATGCTCCCCGCTTGGAAGTATACGAACACAGTGAAACCCATTGTCTGTCATAACCTTGACAAGGAGACGAGTGGTTGCGTTGTGTTGGCCCGAACCAAGAATGCGCATCGCATGCTGGGCAGAATGTTCGTCAAGCGTGTGGTGCCCAACAGTGTGTATTGGGGGTTCTGTGTGGGCAAGCCTGCCGTGAACTTTGGAAGGATGCGCATGCACTTTGATATCACAAGGGGTAGCCAGGGAGATATCATTGTTGCACGCCCTTCACCAACGAAGACGTCTAAGGTTGGTATTGCTGAGTTCGTCGTTAATGCGAGCGCGTTGGAGTTTGGGAGCTTCATTTCCTTCTATCCGTTAACTACTCGCCGCCACCAGGAACGCATTATGGCGGCGCACGCGCTCCGTTGTCCCCTCTTGGGTGATGCCAAGTACGGTGGAGAAGCGGCATTTCCCTCATCGCTGTCGCTCTTCTGGGATCCGGAAGACAAGGGACTGCCGCTACACCTGCACCACCGAAAGATCCAGCTTCCATACAAGAACGGAGCGGGCGAGTTTGTTTGTGTCACGGCCCCACTTCCCGCCCACATGGAGAAAACGTTTAAGAAGCTGGGGTGGCCGTGTGAAGTAGATGATCCGCTCATACCCGGTTGAGTGGGCGGGTCGGCTTCTCACACAACTCCTCTCACATGTGCTTTTTCTTCAGAGTGATTGCTGGTGTACACTACTGCCACAGGATCTACGAAACAACAGCAACAACAACACAAACAGAGAATCCGGTTGTGGGGCTGAAAAGTCCAAAAAGGGGGTAAATGCTCCAAAAAAAATGGAGGGGTGCAGGGTTTTGTCTGCCTCGCCGCTTGCATTCCCGTTGTTTTTTTTTTACTGTTATTTTGGCATCACCGCGTATTCACGGCCCTCGTACGCCGAAAAGAAAAAGAAAGGCCCCCACACCTTTTCACACACGCACACAACAAGCAGGAATGAGTGGCTCTTTTGTTAGCGTGCCGCCGCGATTATTCCGTCTTCTTGGTGGTGAAAGCATTATTATTCGGCGCTTAGCGGATCGTAGTATATCTGGCGTTGAGTGGGGTGAGGTCCGCAAGCAACTTCTGGCTAGTAACGCCCAACTCGTACCCGGAGTTTTTGATGTGGCCAATGATCCGTCGACCTCTGAGATATTTCTTGCTATAAAAGACATGAACTCCGCAGAATCCCGTATTATAGGCTTTGCTGTTGCCAACACTAGTTTTATTCCAGAGAGACGAGTTGTTATTGTTTCTTGGATTTATGTCCAGAGTCGCTTTAGGGGGTTGTACGTAGGCCGTTCCTTGCTACAGTATGTGGAATCGTTCTGCCGAGAAAATGACGTGAAGGAAATGGAGGCGATGCGTGCAGATGACTGTACAGGACTGTTTAAGCAGTACGGTTTTTGCTCCGTGTGCAACTCTGCCGTGTTCAAGGGCAAGGCAATGCAAAAGAATGTCCCGCGGCACTGTGTGGCACCCGTACCTCCATGCGTGGCCTCTGGCGCCGTGAGACTCCGCTACGCCAAGCCGGAAGACAAGAAACAGTGGACGTTTTGCATGTTGGAGGCGTGTGGGTACAACTTTGGTGGGTGTGACATGGTGCAGCGCGTTCTTGGGGGTGACCTCCGCATCAGTGCGTTGGATGGGAAAGACAGTCGCATTGTGGCAGTCCTGTCAATGGAGAGTAGCGGGTGGATCTCATTTGTCTCATGTGTGAAGGAGTATCGCGGGAAGGGACTAGGGTCGTTTCTGCTGTCCTTGGCCATGGAATGGCTGCGGCGACGGGGCGGCAACTCCGTCTCGCTGACGCCCCTCAACAAGGGCGTCATTGCCTTTTACAGGCGCTGGTCCTTCCGCGTAGAGTCAGCCGTTGGTGAGAAGAGACGACGAAGTTCTGACAGCCACACGATTCTCACACGAATGTTGTCTCCGAAGGAGTCATGTCTGCCGGATGGGTATTCGCTCGAGGACTTCCTTTCACCTGAAACCCCACCGCATAAAGAGAGTGATAAGCACGAGAGTGGCGACTCCAATGATGCCACAGCGGCTGTTAACCAACAGATTGCTGTGTAAATGGTGCTGTGTGCCCATCATGAATGAGAGA